TCCCCAGTGAGTTGTAGGAGGAGCACCCCTCCTTCACCCCATATCAGGATTATCCATCTTCTCTCTAATTCTGCTCATGTAGGCTGGACTGGTCTGCCCAAAATGAGTTCCCAAGACTGAGACTGGCGCTTCCCAGGCTTTTCAAGTCTCACTTCATTGGCATGTAAGAGACTTAAGAACATCTGCAGAGGAACAGGGCCCAAGTGTAGCTGCCATTAAGTCCCTGAAGCCTGAGGACCTCCTGTCAAAGAAGGGTGGGAGGCTGGGTGGGATGGCTCATACCTGTAATCTGAGCACTTTGGGAGGATGAGGCAGGAGGATTGCTTGAGGCCAGGAGTTCAAGACCAGCCTGAGCCAGAGGGAGAACCTGCCTCTACAAAAAAAAAAAAAGAAAGAAAGAAAGAAAGAAAAGAAAAATTAGCTGGGCGTGGTGGCATGCACCTGTAATTCCAGCTACTCAGGAGGCTGAAGCAGGAAGATTACTTGAGTCCAGGGGTTTGAAGTTGCAATGAGCTAGCTATCTTAAGAAAAAAAGGCTGAAGAGATCTAGGGCCTATCAGGGTCAGCTTCCTTGGGGAGAGCAAGCAGCTCCTTGGCTGTGGATGATGGAGAAGCACCTGGCCAGAGCTGCGGAGGGTGTGTGGTGGGGCAGCTGGGCTGGGAGGTCTGAACCTGTTCTGGTTGGCTGACCCTGTGGGAAATCCAGGGAGTTTCCAAGCTGAGAGCTTGGTGGCGGGGAGGGTCTATGGGGAGGAGCATGGTTACAGCCCTGCAGGATGAGGAGGACTTCTATCCTCCTGCTGTAGGAGGCACGGCTGTGGAGGGGAAGACCAAATGCATGTGTGTGTTTTCACCGGTGTCAGTGTCTCAGCACATGTGGACTTTTTTTTTTTTTTGAGACAGAGTCTCACTATGTCACCCTGGGTAGAGTGCTGTTGTGTCACAGCTCACAGCAACCTCAAGCTCTTGGGCTTACGTGATTCTCTTGCCTCAGCCTCCCGAGTAGCTGAGACTACAGTGCAGGCCACAATGCCCCGCTATTTTTTGGTTGTAATTGTCATTATTGTTTGGCAGGCCCGGGCTGGGTTCAAACCCGCCAGCTCCAGTGTATGTGGCTGGTGCCTTACTTACTGAGCTACAGGTGCCGAGCCGCATGTGTACTTTTGTGTGAGTGTGCAAATATCTATGTTCCTTTTCTCATGTTCATGTGTCTCTGTGGGTGTGCATTATGTCTGTGGCTCTAGAATGTGGGTGTGTCTGAGCTCTGTGTGTGTGTGAGAGCAGTCAGGTCTGACACCAGATGCAGAGGCATCTGAGTGACTGCGTGTGAACAAATGACTGTGGCTATGTATGGCTATGTGTGTTTCAGTGAGTGACTCTGATGTCTCAAGGGCATTGATGCTCTCTGATGTGAGAGCCTGTAACTTTATGCGCACAAGTGTTTGTATGTGATTGTGTTTAATTGTTGTATCTATGTCTGTGCGTGCATCTGTGGGTTCTGTGTGTACCCAAGAATCCATGGGTCCGTGTATTCATGTCTGTGGGTCTCACCACCCTTAAGAGCAATTCTTCCGTGGCCAGGCACGGTGGCTCATGCCTGTAATCCTAGCACTCTAGGAGGTTGAGGCAGGTGGATTGCTTGAGCTCAGGAGTTGAAACCCAGGCTGAGCAAGTGTGAGATCCTGCCTCTACTGAAAATAGAAAAAAATTAGCCAGGCATCCTGGTAGGTGCCTATATTCCCAGCTACTTGGGAGGCTGAGGCAGGAGGATCACTTGAACCCAGGAGATCAAGGTTGCTGTGAGCTATGATGATGCCATAGCACTCTACCCAGGGTGATACAGTGAGACTCTGTTTCAAAAAAAAAAAAAGGAGCAACTCTTCTGAATCTTTGTCATCATCTTTCTAATTAGGCTGCTCAATTTCCTTCCCTCCATCCTCTGCCCCAGCCCTGCAAGTTGGAGGCTCATCCTTTTGAGGCCCTTAGGTTCCCTGAACCCAGTAAAACCTCATGGCTATGCTGACCATGACGAATGGGGCCCGGACAGGGGCGGAGGCTATAGGGGGCACCCTATTTGGATTGGTACCGCACCAGAACTTCACCCATCCCTGTCCTACCTGAATCCTGACCCTGTACTCTCTGTCTGTATCAAACTCTCTCTTTCAGGATGCAACTTCCCCTCTGAGACTTTGGGGAGAAAGAGATGTCAATCTGAGCCCCCAAAGGCTCACTCTGGGACCCAGGACCCTAACCCCTAGAGCTGCCCTCTACCTGAGGTCCAGGTCAAGGTGAACTCAGAGAGTGGTGTGGATAGCCCTGCTCTTATCCCTTCAATCTCTTTCACAAGCTCCGTTTTCTGAAACCTGGGCCTTCTGGTTGTCACAGAGGGCTGGTGCTGGTGGGCAGGAAGGCATAGGGAAATAGGGAAACTCCCCAGGCCTTAGGGAACAGGGATGGAGAGATAATATGGGCTGGCTCATAAATCTGGGCCTATCTGCTGAGTTTAAGTGACATTGGCCCAGAGTGGCCAAGACATTTCTCAAGGTCACAAAGCAGAGTACACACAGCAGTCTGGAGAGGGGTTCTGAGGAGCAAGAAACTTCTCTATGCTTCTGAAACATTCACGTCTTCATACACCATTCATGGTGCCAGGCCTTGTCTAGGAACTGGGACATAGTTGCATCAGGCAAACTGTCTTTAAGTTGTTTTCAGCCTCACTGATCTTCTCTGGCAACGGGGAACTCACTACTGCGGTTCTGGAGTCTCAGTGTTGCACAAGTTTGGCCGGTAGGAGACACCCAAAGCCACCTGGTACCTTCCCAGAGGGCCACTGGTGAAGGGCTGTGGGTTTCTGGGCAAGGAGGGTGCAGTCCCTATCCCCAGCAGTGCCCCATCCACCTGCCGCAGCCTGGAGTGTGTGCAGGAGGAGCTGAGCTGCCCAGCTACCTGTACCAACCTGACCTGGCTGACAGGCCCTTCCTTCAAAGGCTGGCCCAGTCCGTGCCGCTTTATTGCACAGCTAATGACGGTGATTAGGCTGACAGGTGCCGCCTGCCACCCGTCCATCCTCTTGCCGACTGAGGAGGGTGGTTTCTGAGCATCTAGGGGAGGCTTGTCCTGTGAGCCCTGTGAGCCCTGCAAGTCCACCATGGCTGACCTCTCAAGCCTCAGGCTAGCTTGGGTCCCCCCACTTCCCCTGATAAGGCAGGGCCAGCCCAGTCCGCACCTGAGCCCTCTCTGAGCAGGACTAAGGAGGAAGTTGAACTGAGAACAGTGGCAGGCCAAGTGCACCCTGAGAAGCTCACCCTCCTTTCCCCAGCCAGGGCTGGACAGCAGGTACCTAGCAGGGTCCAGGAGGAGGTAGTAGCAGAGGGTCCTCTTTGCAGATGTGGCTGCTCCCAGAACCCCCTGCATTATGGGTAAGCCAGGGCAGAGCCTCACCCTTCTGTAGCTGGCCCACTCTTAGTGTGGGGGGGCACTGTCACCTGGGGCTTTGGCTTGGGGGGGTTTGTCCTGGTGTGGGTCTGGGTGGGTGCTGTGATTTATGACTGTGCTTCATGAGTGAGGAATGCCAGCCTGGGGGGCCGGGTGGAGGCGGAGCTGCTCACCTGACACTCCTCCATCTCCTGGCTGTATGGCATGTCCTGTCAGGATCCCCTGTCCCCTGGGGACAGCGGTGTTCTCCCCTGCACAGTAGCCTCCTCCTATTTGCACTCCCCACCAACCCCCAGCTCTGAGAGCACTGAGTGAAAGCCCAGCCCAGGGGGATCCAGGATTAAAATCTTTCTGGTTTTCTCTCCTCACATCTGAGCCTCCTTTCCCATTCAGGCATGAAGGTGATGGTCAATCTCTCTCTTCTCTCCCACTGTAGCAGGAGGGGACTGAATGAGACGCTAGGAAACTTCCCATCCAGATGACTCAAGGTTTACTTGTCACTGTCCACAGGGAGAGAGACTTAGGATAGACAAAGGTGAATGTTCAGCCAGGCAAGGCTGTTGAGCTCCCAGAATGGATGATGAATGTGGTATCGTTCTTCCACACCCCCACTTCCACCTTGCAAGATAAATGAAAACTCTGAAGTCCATAAAGTAGGGAGGAGAGATAGCAGCGGAATAGAGAGGTGGAGCCATCCAAAGATGTCTGGTCCTGGACTCTGAAGGCATGCCAGTTTTGAGCCTGGTCCTATCAGTCTAACCTGCAGTCTACCTCTTGCTGCAGGCTGCCATTTTGGGTGAAGGTCCATCTTTCTGGGTACCCAGCATGGGTCAGCCTGCCTCCTCTGGTCTTGTGGGACCTGTTTTTCCAGATGTAGGAAGGGTCAGTGAGGCACTGGCAGGAGCAGAGGGTTTTATGTAAATGCCCAGGGAGGGCTCTGGGAATGGGGAGGCTGGTTTTCCCAAAGACACGCAGGGACTGGCAGCTCCCAATTAGCCAGGCCCAATGATGTCAGTGCTGCTTTCCCAGGTGGCTGCGCCCACTCCAATAGGCCTTGGCATGGGTGTCCAACCATTACCTTCTCCCTTGGGTGGGAGGGGTGCCAAGGAGGCTGCCATATAGGATAGAGGCTAGGCTCCCTCTCACTGTAACCCCCAACCTAGGGCCCGAACCATGTTTATAGACCAGCCCTGGGGAGTGCTGTAAAAAAACCATCTCAGACTCTACTGAAAAAAGAGTTTAATGTGACTAATATTTGAACCTTCCCCCAAACACTGAGAGTCTGGGGAGATTTTATGCTGGGCCAATCCCAGAGGCTGTTCCCATGGCAATCACGGGCAGGCCCTCCTTCTGGGCCACTGCAAGCCTGAGTTTCAATAAATACAATGCAAAGTGGTCTGGGCACTAAGATGGGAAGACAAAGACCTGGGGTGCAAGAAAAGGCGTGTTGCATCGTGTATGAATACACTGTCACTGTCAAGCATGCACACCCAGGATCATGTGCACGTGCACAACCCCCCTCAGACATCCTCACACCACACACCATCCTCACATACATGCACACACACACACACACACACACACACACACACTCCTTCCTCTGACACTCAAGAAACTAAGCATACACACAGAGATTATATATACACATCCCTTTCTCTCAGAATCTGGCCTAGGGCTTGGAGCTGGGGGTGTCCCATCCTAGCTCAGAAGGATGGGAATGGGTCAATCTCCTGGACTTCGCTGGGTTGTGCCCCGTCTAGGGGCTGGGTGTGGTGGAATTGACCGAGCTGAGCAGGCAGTGGGTCGTAGTGTTGGAGTGGGCCCAGGAGGGGAAGATGTCCAGGTGGAAGACGGAGAAGCTCCAGGTGTTGATGGCCAGCGTGATGACCAGCACCCCGATGATGTTGAGCAGGAATCCTGCTCGGGCCTGATGTGAGGAGAGGCAGTTTATGCGGATGCTGAGCGGGGCCAGCCCCCCTCCCTCACTTGTTCCGGGAGTCTTCCCACTAACAGTGCTCCTCTGGGAAGCCCTCCCTTCGGTCCACCCTACAGCACTAGCTGAGGCCTTTGCCTCTGCTTTACTCCCAGTGCTAACAGGGAAGGGCACGCTCCTCCCAAGCTTCTGGTGCCCTGGACTTTGTTCTCCCTGAGTGTGGGTACCTGGCACCTCGTGCCTTCCCCGTGTTCCTCACCTACTTCCCTCCATCTCACGTGGCTGGGGTCTGGCAGGGCCTGAATGTGCTACAACTGGGGGATCCTGTCCCAACCCCTGCATAGCCAGGTGGGGCTCACTCTCGACACTGAGACTCTCAATGGCTTTGAGCTACTTTGTGGTCCACCAAGACGGGAAGACAGGGAAGGAAGGAGGGCCAGGCAGTCAGGCCTCCCTGCCACTCACCATATCAGACACTCTGAGGCCTCCGAAAGAGAAGACAATGGCGTTGGGTGGGGTGGCCACAGGCAGCATGAAGGCCAGGGAGGCAGACAGGGTGCAGGGGAGCATGACGTAGAGAGGGTTCAGACAAATGGCCTGAGCCTGAGTGAGAGACAGTGAGGCAAAGCTGACATTGGTCCCCATCCTGGAGGGAGCAGTATTGCCCCAATTCTCCTGCTTCCCCTCTCTGGGGAACAACCCCTGCCCCCAACACACTCTCTGGTCATGAACCCACCACTTCTGCCAGGGGGTGACCTGGGAAGGGCCTCTTGACCTCTCCAGAGGGAATGAGTGTGCTGCCCTGCCTTGTGGGGTGTGGTGATGGGAGGGGCCAATAAAACGGATCTCAAAGGGGCTCCAGGGGTGTCATCAAAGGCTGCAGGAACACACCTGGGGAGGAAGGGGCTGGGGACGCTTTGGGGAGCAATTTCACCCCATTGCCTCAGGAATGACCAGACCAGAGGCTGGGGTGAGGAAGTGGGTGAGGCCACCAGCAAGCCACATAAGGATATTCAAGGGGTAACGTCACAAGGGTGGGATGAATCAGGGGCCAGACTGCCTCAGAGCCTAGGCAGCTCAGGAGCCTGGGGAAAGGTAGAAGCTCAGGGTCGTCTCCCGAAGAAGAGGATGTGCAAAGACAGGCTACTCTACCCAGCAGGCAGAGCCCCTGGTGGGGGCAGGCAAGAGGGCTGCCTGGAGGAGGAGTTCCTGCAGGGGCAGCTCACCATGGAGGCCAGGATAGGCAGGAAGAGTGTGGTGGTGGCCACGTTGCTAGTGCACTCAGTGAAGGTGGCTACCAGGAAGCAGAGGATGACAGCAATGGCAGGAGGTGGCACACTCTCCAGTGGCGTCAGCTTGTCCCCCAGCCACTTCGATAGGCCTGAGTACTGTGGGAGAGGAGGGTGGTGTGTGAGAGGTGAGGCTGGCTCCACCCAGAGTCCTCTGCTAAGGCTCTGGGAGGGTTCTGTGACTGCCTACAACTCCCTAGTCTTCAGAGGTAAAAACAGCTCTGAAGGGAAGGTAGGACCCAGCGAGAACCAAGTGGTCCCCTCTCCTGTCCTTGAAGAACAGTTGAGTGTGTGGAGAAGAGTCAGAAGAGAAATTCAGAGAGTGTGGCCAAAGGGCCTTCTTGGAAAACCTGGGGCTTGGCGGCAGTGAAAACCTTTGACCACATTTACTGCTGCCTTCCTGATCTCTCTCAGCAAGTCTGTGGCAACCTTAGCCCTCTCCCTGCTCCCTCAGCTCAGTGAGTTGGGGCAGAGGGGACCTTGCTCCTGGCAGGGCAGGAGAGTGGGGGGAGAGAATGAGGGAGAATGGGGGCAGTCCACAGGGGCAGAAGAGCTCCGAGGTCTTGCCCAGGTCTGTGATGCCAAATTGTAAGCCCCAGGGAGGTGGGATCTTATCTCGTTCAGAACTGCCAGCAGCTGCAAAGCACATGGCGGTCAGTGGATGAACGTCCCACAGCCCCAGGAGTCCCCTGATAAGGCAGCTGCCTCCTGTCTGTGGGAGGAATGCACTCAGCTAGAACACAGAGGCCCAGGGTGCAGTTTCAGGGATTTCTCTTTCAGGTGGAGGCTCTCCTGGTCCCCAGAACCTGGCTAGGGGTGTGATCGTGGTGCCTCCTGGTGGCTGCAGCAGGCAGACCGTGTCAACCCAATGCCAACTAGTTGGGTGCTGCAGCTACCACTTTCTCTGTCTGGCAGTGGGTGAGGGCTGGGGTAGGATGGGATTAGTTGCTAAGAATAGGCCTCAACCATCAGAGAAGCCACACTAGCAAGAGGTCCCTAGGGCTTGTGTTTTTTCCTTCTTCCTCAGACAGGGCTCTAACCTAAGTCTTGTGGCTGCAGCAAAGGCTCTACCCACCTGGGGGGGAGGGGTTCAAACAGGCCGAGGGAGTAGGCCAGGGATCTCTTACCTCACTGCCCTTGGCCAGAGCAAAGCCACCACCCAGCAAGAACACAATGTTCCAGGGCATCTTCTCATTCACTATCTTCCAATTGAGGAGGGCAGGAGGGGCCTTCAGCTTCCCTGGTTTTTCTACTCCCCAAGCAGAGAAGGATGGTCACTGAGAGCAAGCAGGCCTTTCTTCCCCTCCACTTAGGGGCTCCCTGTGCGTGCAGGAGGGGCACTCTCAGTTCTGCAACATCTCAACTTTGTCTCTGAGACCTCGTGCCCTTGGCAAGCCACTCCATCATCTCTGAGCTTTGCCTACTCCTGCTAAGAGTGGTTGAAGGTACCTTACATGCCCAAAGGCAGGAGAGAACCTTCCCTGCCCCAGCCCACGTGCTTACTTGGGTCCTGGATCAGCCCTGGGAACTTGGAGGGCACGAAGAACATAATTATGCCGATGAAGACGGCCACTGTCCCATCAGATGCCATGCTGGGGGTGGGGGTGAATAAGGAAGGTAGGTTTAGTGGCTTAGGCCTGCTTAGGGTTGCAGAGTGGAGGGTGGTGGAGAGGATCCCCTCCCATAGACATGCCTGGGGAGCCCCCACCCATTTTGCACTGGGACCCTGCTCCCTACCCTCTTCGCTGAGTATGGGAGCCCCAGGTGGTCCTCCTCCTTTCCTGGGCAATTCTCACCTGCCTCCGTTGGCCTTGGGAAAAGCCAGTTCTCCCCAGCCAGGGAAAAAGCCTGGCTCTCGGGTGAACCAGAGCAGCACCAGAAAGACAAAAAGGACAGTGACAGCTTTTTCTGCAAAGGTCATGGGGCCCAGCAGCTTGTGCTCTGTCTGTATGACATTGAAGGCGGCTTGCTTTTGTTCTTCTGACTGTACCCCAATGCCAAAGTTCTTCCGGAAGCTGCAGGTAGAGAGGTAGGGCAGCTCAAAAGGGCCCCTCATCAAGCAGGGAACAAGGGGCTCTGAATTTCCATGATGTAAGATTGAGGCTCCCAGTGGGCATCACAGGGTCACTAGATCCTCTACCCCAGGTTCTGGAGGAAGGGTGGAAGACTTTTGGGGGACATGGTCCTTGTTCATCAGGCCCTGCTGTATCTGCCCCATTGAGCCCCTTCCTTCTAAGCGTTCTTTTTTTTAAGACAGAGCCTCAAGCTATCCCCCTGGGGAGAGTGTTGTGGCATCACAGCTCACAGCAACCTGCAACTCCTGGGCTCAAGCGAGTCTCCTGTCTCAGCCTCCCAAGTAGCTGGGACCACAGGCGCCCACCACAACGCCTGGCTATTTTTTTGGTTGCAGCTGTCATTGTTGTTTTTGGCAGGCCCAGGCTGGATTCGAACCCGCCACCTTAGGTGTATGTGGCTGGCGCCTTAGCCACTTGAGCCACAGGCGCCGAGCCCTTCTAAGCGTTCTATGGTGTAGAGTCCTTCCTTACCCAGGATGAGGAGGATGTAGCAGCCCAACTCCATGCCCCCTTCTGGCCCTGAACCACAGCTCTCCTCCTCCAGCAGCCTTTCAGGAAATCCTCCCTTTTCTCCTTTACCTGTTTCTGGGTATCCCCTGCTAGCCTGACCCTTCCCTGCATTGTCCTCAGCCCACTTCCTTAGTAAGTGATGCTTACTTAACTTGTGTTGACATTTAACTTTTCACTTGGGTGAATCCCAACTCTCTGCTGGCCTCTGAGTTCCTCAAGGGCAAAGACCATGCTTCACACATCTTTGACTTCCCCGTGGTACCTGGCACTGTGCAGATCTCTTTGACTCCCACCTTGCCTTGTACTAGCTCCCAACCTTAATCCACCTTCCTTGCGTTTGCTCAAGTGAATTTTCCAAATTATAGCAACAATGCTTAAAAACTTTCAATGACTCCCCACTGCCTAGGCAGGAAGAGCAAATTTCAACTCATATCATAGTAACACTCATACCACCACTCCTATCCTGTACTCCTTGTAGACATTACTAATCAATCACAGGCTCCATTCCAAAGGAGCCTCAACAGGGTCTCCCATAATATTCAACTCAGAGCTCCAAATAGTGCTCCAATAACTACAAGCAACCCAGGGTTGGAAGTAGGACTGAAACCTATTTACTATTCTTGGCCTCAAAAACAAGGTTCGAACTCTAGCATACAAGATCCTGCATAATCTTCCCCTGTCTACTTCTCCAGCTTCAGGTCCTAATGCTTTGTCTTTGTGTCTCATCCCCACAGAACTAGAGTTCCCTGAAATACCTCATGTCCTTTTTTGCCACTGTGCTTTGTGCAAGTTTTTCCTGCTGCTTGGAATGCCTTTACCCCAATTCTCTGCCTGGCTGACTTCTAGTCCTGCAAGATTCAACTTAGGCAGTATCTCCTCCGGGGGGCCTCTGGAATCCCCACTACTCTGGGCTGAACGAGGCTCCCCATCCCCTGGGTTCCCACAGTTTCCAGGCTTCCTTCATGTCATGGTCCCCACCATGTCATCACCTGTCAGATGGGCTACAAGGATGGGGACCGTGCCTAATGCCTTCTTGTACTCAGTGCCTAGCACAGGGCCGGGCATACTGTGGGAATACGAGTGCTTCTGTAACTGACCATGCTCGGCACATGCTCTTTCAGTACTAATCAAAGGGCTGTGGAGCGTGATGGGAAGGGGTCTGACCTGGTTTTCAATCCCACCACTGACAAATCTAGTTGTGTACCACTCCTCAAACCTCAGTTTGCTGGGGGTAATACGCTCCATCCAGTAATTTTCCCGAATGGGAGTCTAAGCACACAGAGAGGCCCTGGGAGGGAGATGCTTTCTGACTGGGATGGTGACTATATCATTTTCCACCTCCACCCAACTGGAAGCTCCCATGGGTAAGGGCAGGGTCTGGGTTTCTCTCACCTATGTCGCCACTTACTTGAAGCCCAGGAAGAGGACCTGAAGCCACAGCCAGGCCAGTAGCAGCAAGATGATCATGGTGGGGAAGGCAAAGCCAAACCAAGAGGCAAAGTTCACCACGTTGTCATTGTGGGGGAAAAGCCTGGAGGAGGGTGTGAGCCGGTGTGTGATGTTGTCCTGGGAACTTCCCAGCCCCATTCACCTCCTGGTGCAGGTGCAGGACTCTGCCACAACATGCCACCCCATGGTACTCACGAGTTGATCTGGCCTTGTAGCACCAGGTTGGGCGTGGTGCCAGTCAGTGTGGCAATGCCCCCGATGCTGGCTGAGTAGCACACACACAGGCTCATACCCTGGGAGAAGCGGAGCTGCTCTTGGTTTGGATGTGGCCTTGGCTTTGAGGTAGCAGGTGGGAGAGGGAGGACCTCTGTGTTATCTGAGAATGAGGGAGGGCTCAGGTAAGGATGGGCCCAGGGCCAGCTCCAGGGGAAGTGGGCTGGCTCCATGGCGCCTTATCCATGAATAACCCAGGCCTGGGCTGGGAGGAGAACAGAGGCTATGTCCAGATCTGAGTGAGGCCAGCACCCCAGAGTCTCAGCCTGAGAGTAACTTCAGGCACCATCTGGTCCAACCTCTCTCTTGAGAGAGAAACTGAGGCTTGGAGAAGGAAAGAGGGTATTCAAAGCAACCATGAAGAATGGAGCCTACGCTGGGCATGGTGGCTCACACCTGTAATCCTAGCACTCTGGAGACCGAGGCAGGTGGATTGCTTGAGCTCATGAGTTTGAGACCAGCCTGAGCAAGAGTGAGACTCCATCTCTACTATAAATGAAAAACTGAGGCTGGGCGCCTGTAGCTCAGTGGTTAGGGTGCCGGCCACATGCACCAGGGTTGATGGGTTTCAACCCATCAGCCTGCGCCTGCTAAAAAAAACCCCAAAACCAAAAAAATAGCCAGGCATTGTGGTAGACACCTGTAGTTCCAGCTACTAGGGAGGCTGAGGCAAGAAAATTGCTTGAGCCCAAGAGTTTGAGGTTGCTGTGAGCTATGATGCCACAGCACTCTACTGAAGGCAACAAAGTAAGACTCTGTCTCAATTTAAAAAAATGAAAAACTGAGACAAGAAGATCACTTGAGCCCAAGAGTTTGAGGTTGCTGTGAGCTATGACACCACAGCACTCTACCAAGAGTGACCAAGTAAGACTCTGTCTCAAGAAAAAAAAAAGACCCCAACTGCCCACCTAAACTCCAGCTCTCTTCTTCTAGGGTGACCAAGGAAGGCATCTTGGTTTTCCCAGGACTGAGGGGATTCCCAGCACATGGGACTTCACATTTTAAAACCAGGAAAGTCCCAGGGGAATCAGAACGAGTTGGTCATTATACTTTTGGCTTCTCTCTTCTCTCCCTAAAGGCTCCAAGATGACCACCCCTCAACATAGCCCATCCCTGAGATCCTCCCCAGGAACCATGGGATTGGGCAGGATCGGGCCTTATCTTTCTCACCAAGCTTGGTCACCTCCTTCTGGGGACTTTGTTCCTGGAGCTCGAAGGCAGGGTTGTTGCTGCCCTCCTCGGGGTCCTGGCTGGCTTGTGTGCTTTGCAGCTGTTCCAGGACGGCGTGCGCAATGGGCACCATCATGGCCGTGGTGGCCGTGTTGCTGATCCACATGGACAGGAAGGCTGTGACCAGCATGAAGCCCAGGAGGAGCCTGAGGGTAGGCAGACAGACACACTGCGGCTCCAGCTTCCCATGCCCAGAACATCACCCACTCCCGGTTCTCCGGCCCTGGCTTGTGGGAACTCACAGCGCAGGCCGCACCCCAGTGATGAGCAGCACGCGGAGGGCGATGCGTTTGTGCAGATTCCAGTGCTCAACCGCGATGGCCACCAGCAGCCCCCCGATAAACAGGATGTTGGTGTCCGAAAGGTACTCAATGCACACCTGGAAGGCAGGGACACGACTGAGAGGCAGGAAGATCCTGGGTCTCTCCTTGTGCCCCTGTGCATATGGGGCACAGTCATTGACATTCCCACAAACTGGCCCCCCTGGGCTCTCAGAACCTAATGGAAATGCTCTTTGGATTATCTGCCATTTAGCATTAACCAAGGTCTTTCTTGCCAAACTCACTCTTCTCTGCTCAGGAATGATTGGGGGATAATCTAACATGATTCCATTTATATTTGAAGCCACAGACCAGGAGATAGATAATTTAGTGCTATGTCTAGAAACTAGAGCAGCAGTTCTCAAAATGTGGTTCCTGGGCCAGCATCCTTAGCATGGGACTTGGAACAAACGGCAGAGACACCCCTCCAGGTCTACTGAATCAGAAGCTCTGGGGCAGGGTGCAGTGCCGCTTTCTCAGCCCTCCAGGTGGTTCTCACTCACGTTCAAGTCCAAGAACCACTGAACTAGAAGTACAGGAACTCTGTAGCTGGCTTTTCAAGGCCCTTTTCCTGGGTTCTGGAGCTTCTGCCTCCCTGGCACTAATTGGACTTAATCAGTTTCACTAACACTGGACTGTACTAGGCATGATTTCTAGCTGATTTCTTCCTCCCTGCTCTCTGTAAGCAGAGGCAGAGGCCTCTCTTCTACACACCCCACCTGTAGTGATGCTTCCCTTGGAAGATGGAAGACACCCCACTCTCAGCAACCCTTTCTCCTATGGCAGGGGCTCACCTCAGAGGCGTCCATTATGCCCATCATGGGGAACAGGATGACGGGGAAGAGGGCAGTGATGGCCAGGGGCAGAGCCTCTGTGCACCAGAAGAGCGCCATGAGGATGATGGCATAGGCACAGTAGGCCTCCTGCAGGTGGGAGGGCAGAGGTAGAGCTGTCAGAGGGGGCAGGCCTGTGTCCCAGAGTTAAGCCACCTCCTGCCCCATCCCTGAAACCAGGCCATTTGTAGCAGCCTGGGGAGAACTTGTGAAACCCATGGCGATCGATTGCCAAGCCCAAGGTCCCATTTCAAAATGGAAATAAAAACCAAAGCAAGGCACTCACCACCTTGTCTTTGACCTGGGGGAGCCCAGACATAAACCAGCTACACTGGAGAGTCTGGAGTTGGCTATCCATTCCCATCCAGCCCAAGGGGATGGCAGGGGATCCAGGTGAGGATCCTGAGATGAGATGGGGGCTGCCAGAGGAAGGAGTGAGACCCAGCCAGTGTGGAACCCTGCGCAGCACCCTGGCCTTCCCTGGCCTTTATCACACCCTGTAAGAAGGTATTTATTTGTGTGGTTATTTGATATTTACTCCCTCTGCTAGAAGGTGAGTCCCATGAGGACAGAGTTGGTCTTACAGCCTATGGATCCTTGGAGCCCAAGACCCAGCAGGCTTTGGAGAAAACCTTGTGCAAATGAATGAATCACTGGAAAGTTTTGGGAATGGTGGAGGGTCTCCTTCCTAGCAATCCTGGTCTGGCTGCCATATTACACAACTCCAGAGGCACCATTTACATGTATAAACTATGTGAAAGTTTCCCCCATCCCTGTTTTGAGCAGGAAATTGTGGGGCAACCTTGAGTTATAGTCTTGTGAATCTTTGGGTTCCAGAGTACCCTTTCCCCTCATGAGGCCCTCAAGTCTAGAGAAGCCTGACCTCAGGCCTGGGAGGGGAGCAGGGGCAGGCAGGGAGGCCCACCTTCCATTCCTTCTTGACATTGCCTCTCCCAGGGCTGGGGAATTATTAGCCAGGAGGCCTCCAGGAGAGGGGCCTCCCATATCTGCATCTAGGCTTTCTCTGGGCTGCTGCCTGCCCACTCTTTGTTTGCCAAAGGAAGGGGCTGCTGCTGGGCTTAGTTGGACAATGAGGCTGGTGGCCTCCCTACCTGTCCCAATTGCCCTGCCCTCGTGCTTTCCAACTGGTGCAGGGTGAGCTCCCCTCTTAGAACTTCATACCCTTAGTTACCCTAAAGCTCAGAAAGAGCAGGGGATGGCTGGGGGTAGGGGTGGGGAAGAGTAAGCTGCTGTTTATAGGACATTTCTTGGTGTTATCATTTTTGTGATTACAGGAAAGCATAATAGCCATTAAGGTGGGTGCAGTGGTCCCAGTTTATAGATGGCCTCAAAGGGTAAGTGGCTGCTCAAGGTCACAGAACAGGGAGTGGCAGAGCCTGGAGGGAACTCAGGTAAGGCATCTGGATTGCGCAACTCCAAGTGCCACCCAAGAGCTTTGCCCTTCTGTTCTATGGGACCCCTGGGGTCATGCAGGGTGCACAGCCACACACAGTCCCACCAAGTCCATCTGGTGCTAAGCTCTCTTTTTTTTGAGACAGAGTCTCACTCTGTTGCCCAGACTAGAGTGCAGGGGCATCAGCCTAGCTTTCAGAAACTTTATACTCCTGGGCTCAAGCCATCCTGCCTCAGCCTCCTGAGTAGCTGGGACTACAGGCACCTGTCACACTGCCCAACTAATTTTTCTATTTTTAGTAGAAACAGGGTCTTGATCTTGCTCAGGCTGGTCTTGAACTCCTGAACTCAAGGGATCCTCCTGTCTCGGCCTCCCAAAGTGCTAGGATTACAGACATGAGCCACTATGCTCTTTCCACCAAAGCTCTGCCATTTCTCCTCACCCTGGACATAAGCTCATCAGCCCCAGAGGTGGGGCCACCTTTACCCTCAAACAGAGCCCCACCCCCTATTCCCCCAGCAAGATTCTGCTGATGCTGGTGTTTCTTTGTCTGCAGTGATTGAAAGGCCAGTCACCCTCCCCTCGGGCCAAGGGCAGGCCAACCCCTCTGGACCCTGGTGTCCCCTACTCTGCCCACCCAGGACTCTCTGAACCAGAGACAAGGAGGGGGGCTGAGGTGGACCCTGCTGATTCTACAGAAAACTCTGTAGAAGTATCCTAAGGACTACTCTATACCAGCCATCATGCTCTGTGGGCTTCAGTGCTTTATTTCCTTCCATTTACTTGCTCTGTGAGGTAATGACTATTGTCCACATTTCACTGATGAAAAAAGAAGGTACAAATAAATTTCATAAATGTCTCAAAGCCACACAAACAGCAAGCGAAGCGGCCAGGCCATCTCCTTCTTAGACCCCCACTTTCACTTTCTACACTGAGCTTTCTATTTGAGGGTGTCTTGGTCAAGGCTCCCTGTGACCACTATGGGGTACAGGGGGGATGAGCTCTGACTCCAAACACAGCTATCTTCCACAGGGCCCGCCACTTTTTGTTGCCTGGCTCTGTCTGGTTGCTTCACATTTTTTATTTAAAACATTTTGGGGGGGTCAATGTCTCAAGTGGCTAAGACTACAGGTGCATGCCACTATACCTGGATCATTTTTTTAAATTGATTTTTTTTTTTTTTTTGAGACATGGTCTCACTCTGTTTCTTCAGGCTAGAATGCCCTGGTGTCAGCCTAGTTCATAGCAACTCAAACTCCTGTGCTCTAGTGATTCTCTTGCCACAGCCTCCCAAGTAGCTGGGATTACAGGCACCCACCACAATACCCGGAGAATTTTCCTATTTTTAGTACAGATGGGATCTCATTCTTGCTCAGGCTGATCTTGAACTCCTGAGCTCAAGGGATCCTTCTGCCTTCACCTTCCAGAATGCTAGGAATGCAGGTGCGAGCCACTGCTCTCCACTGTGTTGCTCAGGCTAGTCTTGGTCTCCTGGACGCAAGCAATCTTCCCACCTCTGTCCCCCAAAGTGCTAGGATCACCACCGCTCCCAACCAAGTTTCTTCACTTTTGAGACCCCATTTCCATACTCCAGAGGGGAGTTGTCAATCAAATCTGCCTCTGAGAGCTCCAGTGTGTTTAATATATGGCTCGCCCACCTACCCTTTATGCTGGGTCCTTTTCTAAATATGTATATGAATCAAAACCCAAAATCTGTCTCAAAGTTCCATCCAGAAGCTTTCCCTAACCCTGGCGGCTGTTGCCCTGTGTCCCCATCCTACCTCCTGGGCAGTGCTGACTTGTTTGTCCTGGATCATGGGATTCTTACCAAGCATGGAATTCCAAGGATTTATAAAGTCAGATGAGAAAACTGTTTCATCTATTCACTAACACTTAACCAAAGTTATGAAGATAGGCAACTAAATCCTAACAGTGCTATTGGAAACTTTGTTTCAGATAGTTGACTGTGGCTCTCAGTAGTGGCTATCTGCTCAGATCAGCTGTTGCTGTTATTTCAGAATATATCTCAATATAATATTTACAGCTATCACTATTATGAAATTATGGCACTTATTATCCCAACACTAGATCTGGCTTTGCTAACAAGGAAGCACGTATATTTCAGAAGTGCAATTTATTTTTTCATGTTTTTATAACCGTATTTCAAAATCATTTGTTTCCATTGTAATCCTATGCTTTTTATTTTGTGCATTTCAAAACAATATTCCGAGAAAGGCAAAACTGAGACTCAGGGAGATCTACCGTTGCCTTGTTGAAGTTTGTTGAAGCTTAGAGGGTCTAGGTTTGAGGTTAGGGAGCTGTCAGTGTTCTGAGAGGGCCCCGGGGTCAGGTACCAGCCTATTGGGCACTCCTGTTGGCCGGAGCACTTGGGATCCTTTCTCCTTGGGCCTACAATATGTCTGATTACAAAATCAGCATCTGAGCTCTGGAAGTGGCAATTTGGGAATTAGACCTGTCCTTCCAGGCCACCCTAGTTCTCTGCTTTGCAGCCCAGTCTATGAGTTGGCCAAGCTCAGCTGGCAGCCCATGACATAGACCCATCTGGCTTACACGCTGGCCACTGGCAGCACTTCTGGGCTGCTGCACTGCACAAGCCCAGGAGCGCCACTCACGTATGGAGTTGTGCAAGGCACAGCTCGCCCCACTGTCCGTGACAGCCCTGCCTAGAGCTCAGAAGCCAGCAGGGAAGCGTCTTTTTCTGGTGGCCAATGCTTGTCTTTCTGCCTCCATCACTACCTCCTCCGTCTCCCGGCCAGCAGGGTACCTATTTGTACCTTGGCTGTAGCATTTACTCTCCTCTCAGTCTATTTATGCACTCCTAAGGATGAGGCCTGAGCCTCTTTCCCCTCTGTGTCTCCAGCCCATCACTCTTTAGCTGGTGTTGGCCTGGGTTGTAAATCCTCCCTTCCCCTGGGTGCCACCCTTACCCCCAAGGAAGTCACCCTTCTCCTCCTCCCAGGCAGTCTCTACATTGGAAGTTTGCTGGGGGCAGGCCCTGGGCTTCCCACCTGTTCCACCAGCCACTCATTCCACAAATGCCCTTTCTGGGCCATGCCCCCAGTCCTGCTAATCCTACCCTCAAATGCTCCCATGTACAACTCTCTAGCTCTGGGCCACTAGGCTGGTCCAAGCTCCAACATCTGTCACTAAGACTCCTGTAAAAGTCTCCTTATTCATCTCCCAGGGTCTTCTCCTCTCCCTGAAATCCCATCTCCTTACTATAGCCAGAGTGATCAGGAGGTGCAAATCTGTTTAATTTGCCCTCCTCTACCCCAACACATGCACTCACCTCAAAGCAGCTCAGACCCCCTCAGGGACTTCCTACTGCTCTCAGGAACCTAAGTTCAGGTCTGTCTGTGCCTCCTGTCTTAACACTCCTCCTTGCTTTCTCTACTCCAGCCTCACCCTCCCTCTTTAGGTTCTTCAAATACTTCTTCCTCCCTCTGGCCACAGGGCCTTTGCACATGATTTCCTCTCTCTGGACCTCTCTTCCCTCCCAACTTTGCTTAAGTGATGTCTACTTAATCTTGAGATCTCAGCTCAAGTATTCCCTTTTCAGGAAAGCCTCCCTGACTTCCAGGCTGGGATATAGTCCCCGTTTTTCATACCCTAAGCTATTGTATATCTTCTGGATAGTACTCTTTGTAGTCTGTAA